AACCCTGAGCCGGTGAGATTTGAACCGCTGAACTGCTGATCTAGCAGTAGCCTGCAGTGCTGCATTTAACCACTGCGCCACCTCGGCTCTCAAGAACTGAGGGTCAATGAATGGTAATAGTAATACTGTATCATATGAATGGTAATAGTAATACTGTATCATTGTATTGAAATGTCTTTTTCCCCCTTCCATTTAGCAGTGTCTGAAAAGTCCCTGCAGTTTTCTTGGCAAGATTTCAGAAGTGTTTTGCCATTGCCTCCTCCTTAGAGCTGAGAGAAAATGACTAGCCCTCATATCACCAGTCGTCTTTGAGCCTTCTGCAGGACTAGAATTCAGTCTCCCAGATTCTAGCAAACTGGCTCTCCACTGAAAAGACACATTGTACCAAAACTGAAAAGATGGAGCAAAAGATATTTAAAATAAAAAATCTAGCAATCAATCTGCATTTACCTGGTCTTCTCCTTTTTCTTTCATTAAGTAGTACTCTAGGTCATTTTTAATTTTGTGAGTGTACATTTGTATTAAACTAGGAACGACAAGGACAAAGGAAATCTAAAGAATATGGTTGTGTTAACATAAACAATAAATATCAACTTTGCTTTCTCTTTCTCTCTCCCTCCCTCCCCTGAGGATAGAACAAGAAGCAACCAAGATATTCTGGTGATAATTCTATATTGATCAACTTCTGATTAAGGACTAGAATACTTGGCACACCAAACATAAGGTTATCAGAAGATGAAGCACCTGAGGGTAGAACAAGAAGCAATGGGTGGAAACTAATCAAGGAGAGAAGCGATTTAGAATAAATTTCCTGACAGTTAGAACATTTACCAGTGGAACAACTTTGCCTCCAGAAGTTATGAATGCTCCAACACTGGAAATTTTCAATATGATGTTGGATAGCCATTTGTCTGAAATGGTATAGGGTTTCCTGCCTAAGTAGGGGGTTGGACTAGAAGACCTCCAAGGTCTCTTCCAACTCTGCTATTGTATTCTAACTCCAGCATTTTGTCCCAGACAAGAAGGAAAAAGGGGCAACCTCGTGCATGTGGAGTGACAGGAGGATGGAGCAAGCAACTCAGATCGGCCCAGAGCGCAGCATCCCAGGGACAACTGCGCGCGGACCCTGGCGCTTGGCCACTCCCCTAAAGTGGCCGGAGGTCTGGTGGTCACATGGGCCAAGGTGGATTGAACTGCGAGCGCTGACAGCTTGGAGACCTTTAAAGTTCAGCTCCGTTTCAGCAGGAATTTCTGCTTCTCCGCCAGAAATGCCTAACTTTGCAAGGTAAAAAAGAGAGAGGGAGGGAGAGGAGGGAAGCTTTCTGTTATCTGTTTGAACCTCCGCCTTCTGTTGCGCTTTATTTTCCTTTTCCTTTTTTTTTTTTTTTTTTTTGCAATAACCATTTGCAAG